GGGCGCGAGAGCCGGCGGCCCGTGTCCTGTGCGGCGTGAGGACCGGAGCGCCATGTGTCCACGCACACCCTCGGCCATTAGCGGGGGGCCCGGCGCACAGGGAGCCCCCGGAAAGCCAATGGAGTGAGGAAACGTTTCAGCTTTAAATGCCAAACAGATGCGTGCGCGTCAGCACAACAAGAAGACACGCAGGATTGGCGTTCCGTCCGCCACGCGAAAGAGCAGGCCCTGCAGGGCACACGCCGCGTTTTAAATGTCTCCTGTTTCCTGTGAGGGCCACACGGGCCTCCCTGTGGTCCTGCTCCAGCGGAGTGTGTGTGTGGGTGTGAGAGAGAGAGAGAGAGATGGCGGAGCAGGAGGGTAGGAAATGCCAGGGGACGCGGAGTGGCCAGGAAGGGAAGAAGGAAGGATGGCCCTGGCTGGTGTGCCCAGTGGATAGAGCGTCGGCCTGCGGACCGAAGGGACCTGGGTTCGATTCCCGTCAGGGCACATGCCCGGGTGGTGGGCTCGATCCCCAGTAGGAGGCCTAGAGGAGGCAGGTGACCCATGATTCTCTCTCATCATTGATGTTTCCATCTCTCTCTGTTCCTCTCTCTGAAATCAATAAAAATATTTTTTTAAAAAAGAAGGAAGAGTGGGGCCCTGTCTCTAAGTTCCCGTCTCATCAGATAACTCAGCTGCTCCTGTTCCCGGCTCCAGCTGTCTCTGTGTGTGAGGGGGACGCTGACGGGAGGTGGGGGGGCGGGGCTCCCTGAGGACAGTGGGGTCCACCCCTCCCGCTGCCCCAGGGCCTCAGGAGCCACTGATTGCTGGGGCCTGGCTTCGCTCCCTGGCTCTGGGAGACGCGGCGCTTGCTTCACGGGCGGCCGTGAGGACTCGCGGGCTCCCGTCCTCGGCTGGTCCTGTCCCGCCCTCAGTGCGCATCGGACAGGTGGGTCGGGAGGAGGCCGCTGCTCCTGATTGGCCCTGAGCGCCTTCCATCGTGTTGATTGACTTGACAAGAAGCAGGTGCCAGGAAGGCAGCCGGCTCACATCCAGTTTCAGGCTGGAGCATTTAGGGGGGTGATGAGTGCAGGGCTTGGTGGCCTCCCGCCTCCTGCATCCTCGCCCTCCCATTGCACTCGTACATCAGTGCCACCCGTGCCTGGTCCTGGAGGAACCTCTGGACATGGGAGCCCGAGGATGTGCCTTCGGCGGGAAGAGCTGGAAACCAGGAGATGAAGGCCCCCGGGCAGGCCGGGCAGGTGGCTTTGGCCCAGCGGCCGCGTCTCCCACCGCGCACGCCGCCGTTTCCATCTGAACATGACGGAGCTCAGCGTTTCCAACTGGTTCCCGCAGCCCACAGTTCCCGAGGGCACAGAGCTGCGTGATTTTTTTTTTAAGTCAATTTTCCACGTGACGGGCGTGGCCGGCTGAGTCGACAGAGCAGCCGAGGTAACGGGGAGCGGGGTGTCACTGTGCGTCGCGCCCATAAGCACTTCTGTTAAAAACCGGCACAACCAGCCCTGGCCGGGGTGGCTCAGGGGCTGAGCGTCGGCCTGCGGATTGAAGGGTCCTGGGTTCGATCCCCAGTCAGGGCACAGGCCCAGGCTGTGGGCTCCATCCCCAGTGGGGGGCGCGCGGGAGGCAGCCGATCAGCGATCCTCTCTCTCCACTGCTGTTTCTGTCTCTCCCTCCTCCCTGAAATCAATAAAAAACATATTTTAAAAAACAAACAGAAGCCAGTGCCACTCACAGCCCTACTCGCGGGAAAGCACACATCCCGCCAGCGTGGGGCCGCGCGCCCCTCCCTGCAGGCGGCAGGAGGGGGTCAAAGGCTGTTCGCTTCCCTCGCCGCCGTCTCTGAGGCATCTGTGGCCTCTTTATTTTAATGGAGAAAGGATTCCCCACGTCAACAAGCCGCCCCGTCAGCGAGAGCCCAGGAGCCACTTCTAAGGAGGTTCCGTGGGGAGGACGCCATCACTGAGGGCAGCGGTTCTCAACCTTCCTGACGCCGCGACCCTTTAATACAGCTCCTCGTGTTGTGGTGACCCCCAGCCATAAAGTTATTCTCGTTGCTGCTTCATCGCTGTCATGTTGCTACTGTTATGAGTCGTCATGTGAATATCTGATCTGCAGGATGTATTTCCATTGTTACACACTGAACATCATTAAAGCGTAGTGACTAATCACAAAACAGTATGTAATTATAGATGTGTTTTCCCATGGTCTTAGGCGACCCCTGTGAAAGAGTTGTTCGACCCCCAAAGGGGTCCAGACCCACAGGTTGAGAACCGCTGACTTAGGGCCACCGGCTCCTCAGCCGGGAAACCTCGTCACTGAGAAACCCTGGCGGGGCCCCCAGGGGTCACAGCCCACGAAGTGCCCCCCACCCCCGGCTGGTGGAGGGGCAGGTGTTCCCTGTCGCACGGAGCAACTTCCTGTTTACACCCATGTGAGAGGCATGGACGTCATTTGTTACAGGTGTGGGGTGTCGGCTGCAGAGGATGATTGCGCCCCAATGCGTTCCTGGTGTGCTTGGGAGAGTGTGTGTCCCGGCCCGTGTACCCCACACACAGCCATGCATCCCCCACATGCGACCACACATCCCACACACACGACCACGTCCCCCACACACAGCCATGCGTCCCCCACATGCTTCCCACACACGCGGCCACACAGTGTATCCGCCCGGCAGGGGAACCACACTCGGGCCATCAGCAATGTGACCTGGACGGGGACGGGGGCGGGGGGGCCCTCTGTCTACCTTTCGGGGACGATGGGAGTTGCTGGAATGAACACATGTCCTCCGGCCTCTGCAGGTCTGATCCGCCTGCAGGAGCTCATCAAGGCGCCCTCCAGACACAACCTCCGGCTCCGGATCCGGCAGCTGCCACCCGGGACCCAGGACACCAAGGCCCTGCTCAAGGAGATGAAGGGGGCCCGCGAGTTCCACGTGATCTTCGACTGCTCCCTGGAGACCGCCGCCCAGGTCCTGCAGCAGGTGAGGGGCGGCGGGGGGGACACGCGTTGCTCTCTCCCAGGATCGCGTCCGGCCTCCCCAGCGCAGCCCCAGCACCGGCCGCCCCGAGGCTGGAAGTGGCCCTTTCGGACCCATTAGGAGACCAGGGCCCCGGGACCACAGGCGTCTCCGCCGAAGCCCCTGCCGCTGGTCCTGTGTGCACACGGGACGGTCGCAGGCGGGTGGTGTGCAGAGGGGAGCAGAGACGGGGCCCTGCAAGGCCCTTAAGCATCTCTCTCTCTCTTTAAATCCTCCGCGCCCCGCCCCCCCGGGTCCATGGGTGAGCATGTCTTCCTGGATTTCTGGGGAAATGCAGCCCGCCGCTCAGACGAATCCGTATCAGTAGCTTTTCTCTCACCGCTGAGATGGCCGCCGCGACGTCCTCTCGGGCCGGGAGGCTTGGCTTTCTCTCCAGCACTTTCCATCCCCCGCCCTCACCCTCTCTGACCACTTGGTAATGACCCTCAGAGAACGGGTCCTCGCGTGCACTTCGGGGAAGATGTCTGATATTCACCAGAAGTGTTTATGGGGGGGGGGGGGGGGGGGCGCTATTCTTGGTCGGCTGAGCACCCAGCGAAGCAATTATCTCTATTCAGAGGGAACAGTGCTGTGTGATGAGAAGCTGCAAAGTTATTTCCCAAAAATTCGTTAGAAATTCAAATGCCAAGAT